ACAAGATTCTAATGAGAAACTAAGCGATTTTATGCAAAAAGATTAAACTTCTTTGCCATATAATTCCAAATTTTTATATAAGTATTGCTATTTTATACACATGAAAGCAATTTTACAAAAAATGACATCAAAACCAAGTTCAAAATATACTGCATTCTGCAAAAGAATGTAAGAAATTTTTTAAAAATTTCAAGGATACTTATAATCTATAAAACTCTGTCACATACAATATCTTTCTGATTTTTCACAACAGCCCAGGAAGATAGTTGTTGTTATTATGTAATTCTCAGTCTACAGATATGTAAACTGAGACATAGAGAGATTAAATGACTCATCAAGGTCATCCAGGTAATAATGTCAAGGCAATTAAATTCAGGTTTCATTGGGCTTTCAGATCAAAATTTCTACAATATGGTGAAAAGTAATTGCTGGTTCCAGCAAAGAACTGGGACTACTCAGAAAAGTGTTTATGCCTATATACTAGGTAACAAAAAAGAAATGTTTAAAGAGCAATAGCGGCAACAGTAAAGGTAGCTCAAGTTCTGTACTGATTAGGCAAAAAGAAAGTATAACAACATCCCTGCAAATTATATATTTTGATTTTTCTCTAGTTCTTTTCTACCATCAAAGCACTATATCTAGGAGAAAGGAATTACAAATTCCCTAAACTCTGTTAATCTTTATGGTCTGTGGATTGAGGTTTAATACATATATTTTTAAAGTACATAGGTCCCACTTTCACAAAATAAAAGGTACATGTCTTAAGAGAATACCACTTAAATGTAAAATTTTCTCCATAACAAAATGAACATATTATCAAAATGTAGTCTCTCCCCATTTAGAAAAATCCAGCTTTTAATTTATTGTGATCATGAAATGGGCATCAGCCAGAGTTAAGAGTTCATTATACATCTCTGACCCCTACAATCATAAGGACAAGCTCTGATTTATATTATAATTGAGAATGTGCCTCAAGATATTTTACAGGAAATTAATGTTTGGCTTTAGTATTCTTGTGGCTTGTAGCAATACTGTAGTTGATAGCATAAACCTGAGAACTTGTTAAGCAGCACATCCAATTTGTCTGTGGTTCCATTGCCCTCTAGTGGCTACTTTGAAACTAGTTATTAATAGTTAATAATAGCCTTTTAAAAAGTCAGCAGTGGTTCCAAAGCAGGATGAGCATCAGCAACGTCCAAGAACTTCTTAGACAGAGAAATTTCAGGCCCCATCTAGATCTACTGAAAAGAAACTGATCTTCCCAATAATTCTGATGCACACTAACAACTTGAGAACCACTGAAGTAAGGAAAGTCTATTTGTATTTCAAGTAGATACGAAAATATACAGGGTGTATGTGAGCCTTCACTTTATGTGTCAGTTTGGGTTAAAGGCTGCCCAGCTAGCTGGTAAACATATTTCTGGGTGTGTCTATGAAAGTGTTTTTTTCTCACATTAGCATCTGAATTGGTAAACTGAGTAAAGTAAATGCCCTCCTAAATGTGGGTAATGTCATCCAATCTGTTGAGGGTTTAAATAGAACCAAAAAAGCAGAGGGGCAAAATTGCTCTGTCTGCCTGAGCTAAGACATCCATCTTCCCCTGCCCTCAGACATGGGTGCTTCTGGCTCTCAAGCTTTCAGTTTCAGGGCAGGACACACCATTAGCCCCACGATTCCCAGGCTTGCACTGAATTACACCACGGGTTTTCATGGTTCTCCCCTTGGAGACAGAAGATCATGGGGCTTTTCAGCCTCCATAATCACCTGACCCAATTCCTATAAAAAATACCTATGTATGTATGTATGTATGTATGTGTACATAAACTTTGTTCTGTTTCTCTGGAGAATCCTGACTAGTAGAGTGCATATGAGTCTTCTTTCCAGGAGTATTGCTCGTAATTATTCCCATGCTTTTCTTTAATTTCAAAAGGCCTTTGATATGTGCAAAATAATCTAGAAAAAACATACAATTAGTTGGGGAGATTTAAAAGTGCTATATATCCATGACTGAATGATATAGAAAAAAATCAAATAAACTCACTAGGTATTTTTATGAAAATATTTTTTTAATTTTTATTGTATTTTTCCATTATCACTTAGCCTTATACCCCCTTCCCCCCACGATCACCATACTGTTGTCCATGTCCATGAGCCCTTTTTCCTTTTTGCTCAATCACCCCACCACTTCCTACCCCCAGCATAACTGTCATTCTGCTCTCTGAATGTTCCTATTTTGCTTGTTAATTCATTTTATTCATTAGATTCCACATATGAGTGAAACCATATGGTATTTGTCTTTCTCTGACTGGTTTAATTTCACTTAGTATAATGTTCTCCAGGTCCATCCATGCTGTTGCAAAGGATAAGATTTTCTTTTTTAATGGCCAAGTAGTATTCCATTGTGCAAATGTTCCATAGTTGTTTGATCTGCTCATCTACTGATGGACACTTGGGCTGCTTCATCTCTTGACAATTGTAAATAATGCTGCAATGAACATAGAGGTGCTTATGTTCTTTCAAATCAAGTGCTTTCAGTTCCTTCAGATATATTCCAAGAAGTAGAATGGGTCAAAAAGCAGGTCCATTTTTAATTTTTTGAGGTATTTCCACACAGCTTTCAATAGTGGTTGCACCAATCTACATGCCTCCAAAAGTATAAAAGGCTTACCCTTTCTCCACATCCTTGTCAGCACTTGTCATTTATTGCTTTATTGATGATAGCCATTCTGACAGGTGTGAGGTGATGTCTCATTGTGGTTTGAATTTGCATTTCTCTGATTAGTGACGTTGAGCATCTTTTCATGTTTATTGGTCACCTGTATGTCCTCTTTGGAAAAGTATCTATTCATATCCTTTGCCCATTTTTTAATTGGATTTTTTTTGGCATTGAGTTTTATAAGTTCTTTATATATTTTGGATATTAACCCCTTATCAGATATATCAGCAAATATGTTCTCCCATTCTGTGGGGGTTTTTTTTATTTCGTTCATTGTTTCCTTTGGTGTGCAAAAACGTTTTAGTTTGATGTAGTCCCATTTGTTTATTTTTTCTTTTGTTTCCCTTGCCTGGGGAGATACTTCAGAAAAAATATTGCGAGGAGCATGGTCCAAGGTTTTACTGCCTGTTTCCTTCTGGGATCTTTATGGCTACAGGTCTAATATTTAAGTCTTTAATCCATTTTCAATTTATTCTTGTGTGGTATAAGACAGTAGCCTGGTTTCATATTTCTGCACAGCTGTCCAATTTTCCCAACACCATTTACTGAATAAACTGTCTTTGGCCCATTGTATGTGCTTACTTTCTCTGTTGAATATTAATTGGATACAAAGTTGCAGGTTTATTTTTGGGCTCTCTGTTCTATTATGTTGACCTTATATGTGTCTGTTTTTATGCCAATACCATGCTGTTTTGATTACTATAGCCTTATAGTATAGTTTGATATTAGGTACCATTGATTCCTCCAACTTCATTCTTCTTTCTCAGGATCACTGTTGCTATGTAGGGCTTTTTATGGTTCCATATAAACTTTTGAAATATTTGTTCTAGTTCTGTGAAATATGTCATTGGAATCTTGATAGGAATTGCATTGATTCTATAGATTGCTTTGGGTAGGTATCATGGACATTTCAATGATGTTAATTCTTCCTATCCATGAACACTGTATGTGCTTCCACTTATCTGTATCTTCAATTTCTCTCTTCAGTGTCTTATAATTTTCCAAATACAGGTCTTTTACATCCTTGGTTATAATTATTCCTAGATATTTTATTCTTTTTGAAGCAATTGTGAATGGGATTATCTTCTTAATTTCCCTGTTAGTTCTTATTGGCATATATATATGACTGAATGCCATAGGGAAAATAAATAAAAGTAAATTAATTAGATATTAAACATTCATTTTAAGAACTTGCTAACTAGCCAAGCATCTGACCAGAATCTACCCATTAGTTTCTTGGCTATAAATCAATGGAAAAATGTTTACTGAATAGAATGACTATTCAAACCAGGTTTGTGTGGGGCATTTAATAGTCAAGCTCGTTAGTAGATGTATATAGTTTTATAATCATTTTTTCCATTACACAAATTGCTACTTCGTATATTCACTATAGTATTATTCACAATAGCCAGGAGGCTGAAGCAACTCACTGATGGATAAATAGAGAAAATGTGGCATATACATACAATAGAATATTATTCAGCCTTAAAGAAGAAGATAATCCTGTCACATGCTATAATATATGTGAATCTTGAGAACATGATGCTAAGTGAAATAAGCCAGTCACAGAAAGACAAATTCTGTATGATTCCACTTACATATGGTATCTAAAGTAGTGAAATTCATAGAAACAAAAAACAGAATTGTGATTGCCAGGGGCTGAAAAGAGAGGGAAATGGAAAGTTGTTGTTCAGTGGGAACGGGGTCTCAATTTTATAAGTTGTAAAAGTTACAGAGACGCACAACAAGGTGAATATAATTAGCAATGCTGAACTATACAGTAAAAAAATGGTTAAAAATGGTAAATTTTATGTTTTTTTCCCTCTTCCCTCCTTTCCCTTTTCCTCAATTCAGTCTGTTCCCAACTCAATATATGCACTGAATCAAGGATCATACAAGAGAGAGGAATGAGTGTTCTGCTTACTTCTTCCGTTTGCAGTTCTTCAAAACAGATACCTTAGTTTTACTTCAGAAAAATGGGCAGAATGTTGAAGGAAAGGTCAATTCCAGCCTTCTAATTATGGGAACTAGACCATTTTTTCCAATTCAGGCTCAAAATGACTACTCTGCCAGACAACAGGCAAATATATCTAAGTTCTGAAGATTTTTCAAAACCAAATGAGAAGTTAATTTAAATAATAAAAATATTAATATACTCACATTCATAAATAATGTGCCATAACTTATCTCAAAGCAAAACTAAGAAACAACACACATAAACAAACATTTTCTTTACTAATCAATGAAACAAAAAATAAGAAAATATGTCTCATAAATGAATAGCTTATTCCATTAGGAAATACTTCATTCTACAATCTATTTGCACTGGTTTTCCATCAATTTCATCAGGTTTCATTTCTTTACTTCTCTTTGGGTGCAAAGTACCATAGTAAACAATTAGAAAAATAATTCCAAGGAGAAAAGTAAGAGCTATAACAACACTGATAGATATAAAATAGTCTGAATTAAAAATGGAAAGTGGGCACAGCCACAACACAATCAATATCCCCAATGTCACCAGTACCCTTACAATATAATAACAAGACATTGGACATTTGGTATTCTGTCCCTTAATATTAAAAAAAGTAAAAAGAAGGATAAATCCAACAACAATCCTGTATAAGAACTCCATACTCATAGAAACACAAAACTGAGTTTGGTTTTTAAATGCCCACAATATACCTAAAAACCAAAGAAATAACAACAAACATAAAGCAATGTTAACATTTAAGAAAAAAAGAAGTACAATACTCAGCATCCAAGATAATAATGTAAACAACTTATAAAAGAGATATGTGAGTTTGGGACAGAGACCATTAAGGAGATTTTTATCAGGCAAGGATTTTCTTAAAGCTACTTGAAAATCAACAGTCGCCCAAGAAATAGCACAGCAAGAGACCATGATGGCTGCATCTATAAAACAAACAAAAAAAATGTTTAAAGGTATATTGTTAAAGCAATAATAATAGCAATATTAAATTACTATATGCCATACATGCTTATCTATATTTACACACACCCAAAAACACATGCCAGGCACTTTATATACTCATCTCATCCAATTCTTTGAGATATATATTAGTATTCTCATATTACATATGAAGAATTAATGCTTGGAAAATATATATTACTTGATCCAAGTCATACAGCTAGCAAGCTGCAGACAGTTGAGATTTGAATTTAAATCTGCCTGAGTCCAAAGTTAGTGTACTTAACCAATGCATTAGATGGATTTACAAGATTCTAAATAAATTGTACAAGTTTTAGACACTTTTTTTTCTTTTTGAGCAACTGGTATAATGAAAACTACATCCTCTCGAAATTCTCTGAGACACTACAGTTATAGTCTTAGCTATTCCAGTCTTTTTAGCTTTGGCCCTGGGCATGTATCTAATTCCCTAAGAGAGCATCGAGAAAGAGAGGGAGGGGAGGGGGAAAATTTAACATAAGTGTGAGCTGAGTAGCAACAAGCTCAATTTTCCATATCTTTAAGATGACGGATCAAACAAATATGTTCTAAAAAAAACTTACAAATTTCTACAGGTTTGACATCATTATCCCATTTTTCCCCCAACAAATAACAAGAATAAATTCATTACTACTTTAGAAAGGCATGGTCATTAATCCCACTGCCAAAACTGACACTTTTCTAAAGCTAAATATATCCAGACTATGCCTATATTGACCAATGTGACTGTATTTTGACAAAGGGCCATGAAAAAGTAATTAATCCAGCTTTATGGATTAAAATTTTCTACCAGACATCCCTCCCTTGTGAGGACCCTGAGTTTTGTTTTCAGTCGTTCAACACTCTGGGAAGCCAGCAAAACTGAATCTGCTGTTTATAAGGTTCTGTACAAACCTCAGGGTATAATTGCCTTCAGAATCCCACTTAACCCTTCTGAGTTCCCACTGTAATGCATATTGTGGCCTGTTATATCAGATTGTATTATTCAGGCTTTTGAAAATATTTATCCAATAGTTGTAGATATTTTCAGAGAGAGGGTTGATTCAAATAATTTAGCCTGTCAGTGGTAAAGTTGATTTGAATAACTTAAGTTTTTCATCTGTTTTCCATCTTCTAAACAGTTGTCGATTCTTTTAAATTCTTTTCGTTGTTGTTTAATTACAGTTGTCCCCATTTTTCCCTATTGCTCTCCCCTGTCCTGCCCACCCTTGCTCCCATATTCAAGTTGTTGATATTTCTAATCTGCTATTCTACTCTGCATTCTCTTTTTTCTTGTGGATTCATATTATTTTTATTCCTTCATTCTCCTTATTAGTGTGATTTCAGGAAAGAGCAAAGATAAAAGAATATGTTCAGTCTTCTGAAGTACTTCTACATGTAGCCTTTTTTTTTTAAAACGTTTTGAGTTATTCTTCCTGGTTGTCAAAACAATACATGGTTACTGTAGAAAATTTAGAAATTCAAATGAGCATAGAGAAGATTAAATCAATATATTCATAATCCCACTACTCATAAGCAATCATACTTAACATTTTTCATATTTTCTTCTATACATTGTTCTGTATAATAATTTCTTTGTATCCTTAAAAGTATGCTGATAGAAACTTCTAAAACTGCTTTTTTTTGCCTGAATTTTATTTTAGAATTACTTTCCTATGTCATTAAAAGTTATTACTATTTCCACTGGCTACATAATTTTTTATAGTAACAGTGTACAGTAACTTATTTACCAATTCTTCTATTGTTAGATAATTAGATTATTTCTCATTTTTTGCTATTTTTAACTAATACATCAACATCTTACTTCCAGGAGAAACTATGAATGAAGGTAGAACCTTTCAAATATGAAAATAACAGTTACTGGATCCCATTGCTGATTTGGATGCTATGAACTATTTGAAATCACCAGTAAATCTATCATTAAGACAGGCTATAAACTGAAATGTTGAATTTCTAGCTTCAGTAACTGTATGACACAGAACACCTAAGTCCCAACCCACAAATTATTTGCATTGCAAGGAAAAAGAGGTCTCATATATAGTACATTCATTTCAGTGTCTTACTAACAACCAGAGTAAAAATAATAATATTAGAAAAGGCTACAGTCTAGAGGATTATGGAAAATTAGGAACAGAAAGACTATTTAGGGGAATGAACTGATCTCACAGGTGAGTCTCACATAGCGCAACTCCAGGAAAAATGACAATCTGGTCCTCTCTGATGAATCCAAGTCCACATGCAACCTTAGTCATTAATGAAAACTGAAACTATTATTTAGCAAAAAAAAAAAAGTTTCTTAGCATCTCGAATTAAACACCTATTAAAAGTTTTTTAATGGAAATATCAAACTGTCCTTTAAAAATGAGTATCTTACCCTAATGAGATATACTGTAAAAGAACAACATATTGGCCAGTTTTCATGACTTCTGTAGCATTTTCACTTTCATCTAATGATTCCAATTCTAGAAATATACCCTATGGATATACTTCAAGCATGCAAAATGACCCACACCTAAGATTATTCATTGCAGCATTTTTGCAATAGTAATATATTAGAAACAACCTAAATTAACATAAAAAGGGGCTTGCTAAATAAATCATGGTATATCCATAATTTGTAATATTATGCAGGTAATAAAAATGAATGAGGGAGCTCCTTCTGTACTGCTAGAGACAGATCTCCAAGGTATAATGTTCAATGCAAAAACCAAAGACAGTTTTTATTTTATTTACTTTATTTACTATTTCTGTAAAAGAGGGGGGAGGAAGAGAGAGGGAGAGAATCAGGGGGGAATAGAGAGGGAGAGACAGAGAAACTGACAAAGAGAAAGAATTAATATAGGCTTTTTTAAAACTTTTCTGGAAGAATCATTAAAAACTGACAAGAGTATAAAGGACCCATGGACAAAGCCAAAGTGGGAAAGGATTGAGAGAGGGAAGTGGAGGAGGGGGGCAGGGGGAAATGGTGGCAGGAAGGTAGAGACAAATGTTATCTGAACAATAAAGAAAATAAAAATTTTATAAAATCCCAATCTCTTTTTCCTAGACCCACCAAAAAAAAAAAAAAAAAACCCCACTCACAATAGTTTCCTTTCTGAGCAAAGGAAGAAATGGATGAAGGGGGAGGAAGGCAACATATCTTTATATACTTTTAAATGTTTAAACCATGTACTTCCGTTTAAAAAATAAATAAGTCTATAACCAAAAAACAATTTAAAAATTCTAAAACCTATCAAAGAGTTATGTAGTTAACATAAGATCTCAGTGGCATCCATCTGACAAAGGCTATTAAGAAAGACTTACACTGACTGAAATTTGCTTGACCATGTTCCAGAAAGATATAGAGCTGAAGAACAAGTTGCGGACAGCCTTCCATGTAGGTTTCAAATAGCCTGAGCATACTCAAATCAGTCATTCTATCTATAGCTTCTTTATGTGGATCAATTTGTTCTTCTATGAAGTTATCAGTTTTGTTGCTATATTTGAAAGCCACATGATAACCCTTTTTCAAGGCAAACCAATACCTGTAAAGTAAACATGAACATTTATCTTCAGTAATATACACTTTATAACATGTATGTTAATATACATAGTAATTTTGAAAAAAAGTAACACGTGTTTACAGATTTTTCCCACAAACTTTCTCTATTACAAATTTCTTCTCATGGTTGCTTTATTGAGATTCAGACTCCATAAACTTTTCATTTATTCTCACCCAAGGACATGCTTATTGATTTTAGAGGGGGAGGAAGGTAGAGAGAGGGAGACACACACCAATGTGAGAAACATCGATCAGTTGCTTCTCGTACATGCCCCGACCAGGGACTGAATCTGCAACCTAGGCATGTGCCTTGATGGGGAATAAAACCCACAACCTTTCAGTTTACTGAACAACGCTCTAACCTAGCCACACCAGTCAGGGCAGGACTCCATAAACTCTATTCCACGTTTGATGTGCCATTTTGTGCTAGCACTGTTAAACATACATGATCTCATTTCATCCTCACAATAATTATGTGAGATGAGTATGTATTATTCCCATTTTACAGGTGGGGAAACTAAGGCTGTGAACAGTAAAGTGATTCACTGAGCATTACACAGAGACAGTAAAGGGTAGATGTCAAGTCCAAACTGAGGTCTTATGATTCCTAGTCTTAACCATTACGTTCTGAAATACAAACTGCAATTTTCAATTTGTGCAATTTATCTTATATACAAGACAGATACATGCCCTTATGACAATGTCAATGTTGATGATGAGATTGAGCCTTCTTTCAGTTTAGTCTAGCAAAAAATTACTCAATTTCTGCATGGTGCTATTCTCCTTGACTATTACCATCCTAAAAAATATATAAAATCTCAGACAAAAAATATCTTTGCTCAGGATCTTCTTTTGAAAGAATCTTAAAATGAACATAAGTTATCATCATGCAAATAAAATTAATTTTAAAAGACTGAGACACTCAGAAAAAATCTGAGTCTAGCAATAAAGCAACAAGGATTCTAGCTTGTCAAAGTTTATCAAAACTCTTCATCTAAAGGATGCTCAGCATCACTAGCCATCAGAGAAATGCAGATCAAAACACCATGAGGTACCACCTCACACCGGTCAGAATGGCCATCATAAACAGATCAACAAACAACAGGTGCTGGCGAGGCTGTGGAGAAAAGGGAACCCTAGTACACTGTTGGTGGGAATGCAGACTGGTGCAGCCACTATGGAAAGCAGTGTGGAATTTCCTCAGAAAGCTGAAAATGGAACTGCCTTTTGACCCAGTGATTCCCCTGCTGGGAATATACCCTAAGAACACCAAAACGCCAATACAAAAGAACCTATGCACCCCAATGTTCATAGCAGCACAATTTACAATAGCCAAGTGTTGGAAGCAACCTAAATGCCCATCAGTAGATGATTGTATCAAAAAGTGATGGTACATATACACAATGGAATACTACGCAGCAGAAAGAAAAAAAGAACTACTAAACTTTACGACAGCATGGATGGAACTGGAGAGCATCATGCTAAGCGAAATAAGCCAGGGGGCGAAAGACAAATACCATATGATCTCACCTATAAGCGGAACCTAACCAACAATGCAAAGATGCAAGAAAAATATGACCAGCAACACTGAAAGGAAAAGAAATCAACAGAGACAAGAGGGAAGGGCGGGGGGGCAGGGAAAGGGAAGGGAAGGGGAAAGTCAAGGAACATATAGCAAGGACTCATGGACAAAACCAAAGGGGAAGAGCTGAGGGAGGGAAGGAAGGAGGGGGCAAGGGAAAGTGGTGGGGGGGAGGCAGAGACAAATGTATTTAAAAAGTAAATAAATTTTAAAAAAAACAAAAACAAAAAACTCTTCACCTACACCTCAGTTTCCTCATATATAAAATAAGGGCAGTGGATATACAAGGGTGGGCAAAAATAAGTTTAAATATCCACTTTCATTGGTCATTGGTTAAATTACCAGCCATTATTTCCCAAAAGATAAATCATAAGGATACAAAATAATAACAGTAATAAGACTAATAATACAAATAATATAATTAATAAGTAGAGAATAATACAAGAATAAATTGTTTCATGTACTTAACAACTGTAAACCTACTTTTACCCACCTCTCTATATCCTGTTTCAGCCTGTTCCTTCTATCAGTTTTCCCATTTCAGTAAATGATACTAACATTCACCATGTTGCTCAGACTAAAAACACGGACATAATTTCCAACCCCCTTTTTTTCCTCAGACCCTATAAAAATTTCTCAGCAGGTTCCTTGGTTCAAATATACCTAGATCTAAACATTTATCATTTCCAGTGCTATCAGCCTAGGTTAGGCAGCCAACATCTCTGGACTGAATTACTTCAATAGACTCATAATTGGTCCCTCTGATTCTACTCCTGATTCCTACACATTCTTCTCTCTACACAGCATCTAGACTGAACCTGTTAAAAGTAATTCAGACGTCACTCCTCTGCTCAGAATGTTCCAATGATTTCCATCACTTAGAAGAAAACCCAAAGTCCTTAAGATATATTATAAGGCCCTCCATGACCTGCCACCTGCTCACACTGCCACCACTACCTTTCTATCCAATTCCTCCCACACTTCCAGTACACTCTTCTTGCTATTTCTGCCAACATAAGGGCTTTTGTCCTTGCTACTACTCTCTCTCAACCTCAGTTTTTTACAATTATTACTCGAACTTCATGAAGCCTTGAGATACATGAAGCAAAAACTGTCAAAAGTACAGGAAGAGAAAGATAAATCCAAAATCTTAGTTGAAAATTTTAACACTCATCTCTCAACAATTGGAAGAAAAAAGTAGACCCTCCCCCACAAAAAATCAGTAAAGATATACAAGATTTTAATAATACTGCCAGCCAAACTGCCCTAATTTACTATGTAGAACAGTATCCTCATCAATGGCAGATTACAAGTTCTTTTCAAATATACAAGGAATATTCACCAAGTTAGACTATATGCTGGCCATAAAAAAAGTCTCAAATTTAAGAAGACTAATCATGTAAAATGTTCTCTGACCAAAACAAAATTAAATGAGAAATCAACAAGATATCTAGGAAAATCCCCTAATATTTAGAGATTGAGGAACATGGCCCAGAATAAATATTGCACCCTAGGATATTTGAACATTACTAGGTGACCTTTCTTTAAGGAGCTTTAAATAGAAAAATAGGCAGGAAGGAGGGTTCAAGTATTTACTTCCCATTTAAGAAACTCCATAAAGAAGGGCATAGAGACCTGTGAGAGGAAGGAGACCTATCTCCCATTATACTCTTTTATACAACTTGAACTTCTTTCAACCCTGTAAGTTAAAAGAGGAAAAAATAACTTCCATATTTTAAATATGTAATCCAAATGCCTATCATATATCAATCAAAGGAGAAATCTCCTTTGGCAAAGAGAGAGGTTTTATTACAAGTTATGCATAAAATTGAAATGCAAAAGTGTCATCTAATTTATATTCTGGAAAATGAAACATTCCATTCCAAAGACTCCTGAGAAGAAACAGCATACTTATTAGCAACAGACTCTTATACCTGATAAATAATACATGTTGATATGCATTGTCTTTCATCTACCAACTCAAACTCAATTTACCTATTCTCTAGGGAAATGAATCCATAATTAAGCAAATCTCAAAGTTTTCCATACTTAATCTGAACAAACCCTTCAATAATTTGGCCCATTTTTATGAACTGTTATAATTTTGCTTACTTCTCACTATTTGTATCAGTATTATGCCACTTTCTGCACTAAGAAAATATACAGGAGAAGAAAAAGACAGAAAGAAGAAAGTGTCTTTGTTTACCTACCTGGCATTTTTGCTAATAGCCAACCTAATTCAATTATTCCTTTTCTTTCTTTTAATTGTTAAAATAGGCAAAAAAATTCACATAAGTCAAAAATCAAAAATACGAAGCTATTCAGTGAAAAAAACTAATCCCACTTCTATTACCCAAGCACCCAATTTTCACCCCCACCCCCGACCACAAGAAATCACCATTGCTAGTTTCATGCATACCCTTCTAGAGTCTCTATACGCATATACAAGCAAACATAAACACATTTTCCTTTTTAACACCTTTTTTTACACAGATTGGAGTATATTATACCTGCTGTTTAAACCTTGTCTTTAGACTTAAAAATACATTTTGGAGCTCTTTTCATTTCAGTACATAAGTACTTTATCATTCTTTGTAATAGCTGTGTAGTATTGCCATTGCATACATATACCATAAACTCTATCAACAGACATTCAAATTGTTTCCAATATGTTGTTATTACAAACAATGCTACCATTTAAAAAGGTGTGCATATGTTACTTTACACTTAAACAAGTACTATAAATTCCCAGAAGAAAACCTCTGCCCTAAAGGTACATACATCAGAAATACGGTCAAACTGCTCTCCACCAGGATTGTACCAATCCACACTCCCATCAACAAAGTATGACAGCATGTGTTTTACCATGCCTTACCAAGAGAGTATATCATCACTTGGATTTTTGCCAATCTTGTAAGCGAATAATAATATCTCAGTAAAGTTTCAATTGGCATTTTTATTACAAATGAGGTGAAGCATCTTTCATAGAACTTAAGAGCATTCACATATTCTTTCCTATGAATTATCCTTATTATTGTTCTACTTTTCTATTGGATACATGACTTAAAAAGCTCTTTAAATATTAGAAAACTAGATCTTTGTTATAAGTCACAAATATTTTTCCCTGGTAATGTTGTTTTCCTTTTACCTTTGCTTTTGTTTTTGTTTGTACATTAGGGGAATTTCACTTTTTTATTGGCATGCATTTTTAATACTCAAATATATCATTTTTATATCTTACAGAGTTTATGGTTAGAAAGACTTTCTCCATGCTACCTGATTTGTTTGAAATTTATCCAGCGTCTGATTACCTAGAAGTATAGTCTATAACATTCAATCTTAAACTATCCCAACTCTAAAGTTAATTGAAATCTTTACTGTTTTTTTTCTTTTAACCATTA